TATTTATTTATTATGTATGTAATATTCTGTCTGTGTGTATGCCTGCAGGCCAGAAGAGGGCACCAGACCCCATTACAGATGGTTGTGAGCCACCACATGGTTGCTGGGAATTGAACTCAGGACCTTTGGAAGAGCAGGCAATGCTCTTAACCTCTGAGCCATCTCTCCAGCCCCTCCACATCCTTTCTTTAGTTTCGTTTTTTTGCATCTTGCTAATATGACTGGGAAATAGGTAACAGATCCCGTGGATTTGCTCATCACAGTGTCCTCTCTGTTTCCCCAATGAGCCCGAGAGTTAAACCTGCTGTCTTTCATAGTCATCACGCAATCCTTTCTGTTTATATGGATGAGGTAGAGGGATCCGTCACAGTGACACCCGAGGACCCACTCACTGGAGAAGGTGGCAGCTCACTTCCCTGTCAATGTGGGAGCCAGTATCCTCATCCCTTCACGGAAGTACCTGACCACTGAGACTTGGTAGGAAGCTCTTGGATTTTAAAGAAAAACGATATAGTTTTCTACATCGGCCTCATTCTTGCCTGTCTATGACTTCAGGCATAATCGGGGCACATTTAGGTCACAGGTGATTGTTCAGTATTGTTGGCAGGGACAATTGTTCCTGACTCACAGAGATGTTAGCTTCTCAGAGATAGGTTAAAGTCTAGGTCTCGGACACACAGGGACACGTCCACCTGGTCTCAGGGCTGAAGAAGACCAGAGTCTGACCTTTGTAACAGCATAGACCTGTCCTTGTGGTGAGGTGAGGACACTAGGAGGGTGAAAAAGAATTGACAGGGATGATGAATTCCTGTTGTTTCTTTCAACTCCAAAAGAAGAGCGTTTTAATTTCATCCTTTTAAAAATAAAACTGCTTCCTGCCATGGTACTGTGGGACATAGGGTGGCTGTGCCGTCAGCAGAGAGATGAACTAGTGTACCATCTTCAAAATAAACGATAACAATGTGGTTTGTATGTCTGTGGGGAGCAGAGGAAGCCTTGTATAAATGTGTATCTTTTCACGTGGGCACAGCCGTATCCAAGACCCAGTGACTCAGGCGCATGGAAGTGGCAAAGCCTTCTCCGTAGGAGGTGAAGCTTAGAGCAAAGTCTAAGTGTGTGCAAAAATTAGCAGCTTCCTCCTTAAAAACTGCAGCCTGAGACTGTGCCCTGCCACAGACCCTACCAAGAACTAGCCTCTCTCCATTGCGCTGTGTGGAAGGAATATGCTGAGGTTCTGGCTGATGGCATGGTTGGTGCTGCTCCAGGTAAGCAAGTGTGACCCAGCTTTTCCGTGCATGGATCTCCACGTGTGATCTTTCTTCATTCCCTAATCACCTTAGTCAGGGTCCCAGGACCAAGCTGAGCAGAAAGCGGCTAACTTCTCGGATTTCTTTCCCATGTTTGTGTTTTTAAAATGAGGACAGAGCTACAAACTACTGAGAGTCTTAGAACCTTGTGTTTACTTAAGAGTATGGCAGTTGCATTTAAAGAAATTCAGTACATAACTTACTTAACGATCCCCTAACTTCAATTTTGTTTGTATAACAAAGATTAAGTGGAAACTTGTGCCTTATATTAAAAAAATGTGGCAAACTTAAGAAGTAACCTTGTTTCTGGGGCTCATAATGGTGCTATTTTTATAAAATGCTACTACTAAAAAGCCAATAGAATTGTCGAGTCATTGGCACACAACTTTTCCCAGAATTATATTATCCACATAGAGAAAATGCACACAAGGACTTTGAATTTTTCACAACCACTGTTTGCTTATTTTGTCAGGGTCTCACGGAGCCCAGGCTAGCCTCAAACTTTGTGTTGAAGATAACACTGAACTGCTGGTCTACCTGCCTTGACCTCTGGGATGCTGGGATTACAGGCATGCAGTAAGAATAGGACCCAGGGTTTCGTACATCCGAAGTGAATGCTCTGTCAGCAGAGTGCTTCCCTAGACTGCCTAGAATGTTTCTCTTTCTTTTAAACTCTGTGCATACATATAAACTCCAAAGAAAAGAATCCATTTTTTTCAAATTTCTCCAACCCCCTTAAATTCTGACATTTCCTATTAATAAGGATTTTCATGTTAATAGATGTCAATGTATCTTTTCAAGGGATGGAGCACAGGTAGATGGATCACTATTCAGACATACTAAGAACTTTCGAATTTGCTGAAGCAAGAAAGCCATCAAAAATATAAATCTTTGATTCATCGAGTTGAAAGGGCCACAGAATCTATTCTTTTGCCTCTCCTGCTGGAAGGCTGCAACTCTCCCAGGGCTCTCAAGTCCTTAGGACCAATGACCAGCAAGTATATTTTCAGACCAGTCATCCATTCCTTTAAAGCTAACTACTTAGACACGCCCTGCTGACAAAACAGGTAAGAACCAAACAAGTAAACGTGGATCAAAACAAAAATCGTCCGCGGACACTCCGGAGTCTACACACTCAGATCTAAGACAGCACCAATGTACCATACTATGCGCATGAGAATTCAAGCACACAGCTGTTCAAGCCTACACACCACACCAAGAACCCTTGCAGGGAACTCCTGCCTCTGCCATACCTGTGTTTGTAGAGGTAAAATGCAAACCCTGATAAAATTAGAGCAAAGAAGGGAACGAGAATTGCAGCTGCCACGGAGCCACTGCTGGTGCCCTGGTAATGATTCGAAGAATCTGCATCTGAGTTGGAAGGATCTAGAAGACAAAGAGTTGGAATTTGATGGCATTAGGTACTGCTTAGGCAAAAATAGCCGTCTATGATATATTTTAAAAGTGAACACAAGAATAAGAATTTCCATCCCACGACAAAGCCACCCAGTGTTCTTTTCTGAAGATTGCTCATCAAACTTGCTCTCCATGGACTTTCCTGCTCTGACCTAGTTATGCAAATGGAATCCTCTAGACTTTTCAATCAGCCTCAAGGCTCACAGGTCACCCCATCTTATTAAGCATCAGTATTTGACTACTTTTATAATGTGGACTGATAATTCACGCATTGATGTACATACCACATTTTTTCTTGAATAATTTTTTCTCAGCTGATGGACTTTTGGGAAGCTTCTTCTTGAGTGATGATACAGATGATGCTTAAAGCATCTAGGACATTTGTGTGAGGACGTGTGCTCAGTTCTCTTGGCAGGTCAAGGAGGGGTGCCGTTCTCTATTTAACTCTGTGTCGAATTCTGACAAACTCCATTAATCAGAACAGTTGGATGGCTTCACATTCTGCTGGCAGAATCTGAACTCCAGTCCCTTTGCCTCTTTGACAAAACTTGTTTTGATTTTGTTTCCCAGCTGTAACAGGGCCTGCGAAGTAGTGTCTCCATGTAGTTTTGCTTTGCATTTTCCCCAGTGGCTAATCTTCTCTGACACCGTTTATCTCAATTGTCAGCTTGATGGGATCTATAACAACCTGACAGACAAGCCTCTGGGAATTACCCTGATCGCATTAATAGAGGAGGTAAGATCCACTCCCCATGGGTGGTTGTATCAGCCCGTGTCTGGGATGCTGGACTGTATGAGTCGGAAAAGTGAACGGAGCACGTGTTCATTGCTCTCTGTTTCTGATTGTGTGTGACATGTGTGTAAACTCCCACTTGACTTCCAGCCATGGCGGACTGTAACCTGGACTACGAGGCAGCATGAAGCCTTTCTCCCTTAACCTACTCCTGGCAGAATGCTTCATCTCGGCAATGGGAGGAGACGTTAATAAAATGTCCAACTCTTTTGTGGGCTTGTTGTCTGCTTGTACAGGATCTGGGAAACTTATGCTCCCCAGTTCCTGTGTTGTTGGCTTGGTCATCGGCTTCTATGATACGGAGCCATGAGTGCTTAAATTTATCATGTTCACATATTTTCTCTCATCCTGTGTGTATGGGGCCGTCACTCACTTTTCCTATGGAAGCCAATTCATACTTAGCATCGTGCGGATGTTTCCACAGTAAAATTGTCTTTCAGATGAACTTAATTTCAGTACCTATTCAACCATAATCACTTTTATTTGGTTAATCTATTGACTGAAGACAATTAGGAGGTTGTTATTTTCATCCATAAAAAATAAAAAAAGGGTTTTATCCAGCATTCTTGAATGAATGACGGCCACTGGGGCATCACTAAAACACTGGCTTTTCTGATTAGCTGAAAAGGAGACTCACTTGGGATCCAAATTATTTTCTAAAGCAAATTGTTTCTTTCTTACAATAAGGTCACCATCCCAGGGGGATAAAGATTTCTTGTTAATACAAGCTGTTATTTTGTTCTGTGGAAAAGAATGCAGGAATATGAAGAAGACATGCTGAAATCAATGGCGGCTTCTGTCCTTTACCAGATAGGTGAACCTGACATGCCTGTCGTCTCCAGGGCAGCTCCCTGGTGTCTGTGACCGTTGCCAGAGGGTGGGAAACAGAAGAAAGGAGGGGAAATGGGGGCCTGATTTGGCCTAGAGCAAGGGACAAACTTTAGCCCTGGCTAGTGTTAGTCTGATTCATCTGTGTGATTTCCTTATATGCAGATAACACAATCTGTTTTGAAAGATTGTCTCAGCCACTGCTGACATGCATTCAAGTTCTGATTAGGAGACTGAATATTGGATGGCAGAAAGATAATATTTTATAATGGCTTGTCCTTACTGATTAGTTTCTGTTCAGTAACCTATAGGTAGGCGACCTCTTTCCTTCCCTGTCCTGGGTATCTGGATGGCGGTCCTGTCAATGCGCCATCAGTGGCAGTCATCCCAGTTCACGGCCTCATACTGGCTTCCTGTGTCTAAGCCTGTAGAACCTATGTCTGCATGGCAAAATTCTTCCCCACAAAACAATCAATGTGCCGATGACAGCAGACAAGCAAGTAAATCAGATTATTCTGCCCAGGTTAAAATACAGTGCTAATCTCATTTCACAAGTGCTTCTGCTTCCTTGTCTGTGGGCGTGGATAATGGCCTCCATGAGAGCAGAACTCAGCACACAAAGGAAGTCCTGGTTGGAATCTCACCTAGTGGGTCATTCTAGAGTTGGCTAGGTAGGGAGGGAGGAGTGGATCAGGGAGGAGTTGGGGGAGAAGGGGTGAACGTTATCTATTATATGAAATTCTCAAGGAATTAATCAAAGTACTATTTACAAGACCAAGCTGATACCCCAATTCCTCCTGTTCACCTTTGTGGGTCACCTCTTTGCAGCTTCTTCTCAGAGGGTTATTTAAAGGCACAATTGCTAGCTGCTTTAAACAAACAATGAACCAACAATAAGCTTACCTTGTCTTTCCAGCTTGAATTTCCCAAAGTCTTTTCCATGTATGTCACCCTGAAAGGAGAATCCCCCTCTCTCAAGTCCTGAGGACACCTGGTGTGCAGAAAGGAGGGCAAAGCACAAGAAAGGAGAGAAAACACAGCTGTCACCCACACCTAACTGTTACCACTCAGATTTAGACACTGCAGGACCAGAGCGTAATTTCCCCCCAACTAATCTTAGTGACATAGGCAAACGGAAAATCAGGATGGAGCTAAAGTTAAAGCAACAACGGGAAGGGTCACTGTCCCAGTTGGATCTCGACCAGCACTGGGCACGACCTTCCCTAATGAGGAACACTGTCCATCAGCACACAGCTCTCATACATAATATGATTTCACCGGGATGCACTAACTCCAGCAGCATCACGGGAGGCTGTGTAATTCTGTTAGATGGTGAACTGGAAAACAACCAATTTCAAACTTGCAGAGAGAACCACCAAGTGGAGCATGGCCACTTTGCTTTCTATGTTTTCTGATCATGACTCTTGGAGCCTTCAGAGAATTTTCTAGGTGGTCTCAGAATAGCCACAGTTCTGACAGCAAAAGCTGTGGTATTAAAAGAGCATCGCCTAGACTGAAGAACCTGTTTGCCCTTAGCAGCGACAATCCCTTAACTCTGGAGCAACTTATCTCAGAGGTCTGGTTGCTGCCAGCACCAAATGATGTGAATGGTGGCCATACTTCAGAGGTACCTTCTGAGTTCCAGAGGGATGGGCAGTGTTTCCCTTGCCTAGAATTCCCAGTGGATCACGAACTCCTCTGCCCAGGCCTTAAAGTGTGGCGACTGTGTGAGAAATTTCATGAAAGCACTTACATAACCATCGAGTCCCCAGTTGTCATTTTCAAACTTGCTCACGAAAATATCTGCTGGGCCTTTGATATGAAAAGCTTTCAAAAGTAGGTGTGCCTCTTCCTTCTTGTAGACCCCTGAAAAAATGTCAAAGTTGTCAGTCCTGCCCTGCAGAAGTCAGAGTCTGTGACTTGGCCATTCACAGACCCAATCAGGACCAGTTACAGTGGGGAAATCCTACCACAGACAACAGAACATTTAAACATATGTTTTATTTTGAATTTTGAACCTCAGTATTTTTACCACTGTGGGATTGGAGAAATCACTTCTTGCCAAAGTTCTTGAATGACTCTCAAACAGATGTACCATTGCATTGTGCTCAACACCGCTAACCAATAAGAAAATTACTATGAACTCAAACCTGCTGATGGAAAGAGCCAGCATTTTCATGTGTATTTTATTTGCTTCTGAAGACAGGGGTATGGAGAGAAAACAGACCAAAACCTTAACTCAAAACACAGCCTTTAGAGACGGCTGGCCCTGTTCGTAGGAAAAGCATCACAGTGGGGAGTTTTTGAGGATAACACAAGAGGCAGGCAGAGGGACCGAGTAGCTGCCCCTGTTAGCTACACCTGGCTAGGGATGGCTGTGGTGCTGCCCAGAGACAGGGATGGAAACTTTCCTTACACTGGCAATTAGGGCCCCACCAAGGGAAGAATACACAAACCACAGACATTAAGCAAATAGTGCTGCACCTGTCGTAAGTCCCACAGGCAGAGAGGACACAGGACAGGGGCCGTGCTGTGTAAAGCTGCACAAGAAACTCACTATCACTCTCTAGAGGAGCACATCCTGACATCCCAGGAGTGAGTTCCACAAGCAGACACCCCAGTGAGAGGGACCCACAGCTGCTGCCTACTAACAAGAGCCACCTGCATCTCACTCTGAGCAGCACCTTCCCCACAGCAGGAAATCTTTTTTTCCCCCCATGAATTTAACCTCCAAATCTTTGAACTTGGACCCAAGTTCTACAAGATGAAAGGAGAGATAACAAATATATTTTCATTTTTCGTGTTTACAAAAAAAGCACAAAGAATGAAAAATGTCACACAACCAGCGAGTGCTCTGCAGGCATCACTTCCTTTCATCTTTGGTCATTCCCTTTAGGTTCCCTACTGTGGGGAGTCTGAGTGCTCCTGGACCTCCCAATGTCTGTGGATCTTGTCCTCTCTCTCCATCTCCTCCCGCCTCCCTTTCTCTCTATGTCTCTGTGTGTGTGTGTACAAATGAGCTCACCCATCCATGCATAAAGACAAGCTAGAAGTTGATATTGGATATTGGTTGAATACCTACCCCTATTGTTCTCCAATTTAATTTTGGGACAGTCTTTCATTGACTGAACCCGGAACCCAGCACTTGACTAGCCTGGCCGCTAGCAAGCCCCTGTGATGCTCCTCCCTGTGCCTTCCCGTGCTGGGGTTACAGATGTACACCGGCACACAGAGGTTTTGAAGATGTGCTGAAGTCAGGTACCTATGCTGGGTTGTCAAGGTTTACCTACTGAGACAGCTCCCAGCTCATATTGGAGAATTTCACTGAAGAAAAGAATTCCAAGTTCCTAATTCTATGAGGAGGAATATCCAATGAGAGTTAGAGTAAGGAATTTAAATATTAAAAGTTCCACATGGGCTGGGTGTAGTAGTGCACTCCCAGTACCAGGAAGGTAGAGGCCTGGTCTACAGAATGAGTTCTCAGTTGGTCAGGGATATATAGAAAGATCTCATCACACACACACACACACACACACACACACACACACACACAGTTCTTTAGTTTCTTTTTTATGTGATGGATTTCCAAAACTCAATCTAAATCATTTGCTTGGATATTTCTCCTCACAGTACTGAGTCATTCACAGCCAGCTTAAGCTTTAAAAAGTCATTCAGGGACAATAATATATCCCTATAAGAGGGGAAAGTAATATAAAACAACTCTAGACGTCAGACGTGATGACTCACACCCATACTTTTGGCACAGGAGAACAGGGGCTAGAAGATCCCCGCAAGTCTGAATTTCTAGCCTATCCATGGCAACGCATCAGAGCATACTTTACAAAAAAGCATCCGTAGATGTACATATGATGGTGCCGTCCTTTCTGGGTACCAATCTGAGTTGAGATTAGATGGCTTAGTGCGCAGCTGGACTCTGCCAGTTACTCGCCGGAACACTTGGGAAAGTGGTTGGATTTCCCTTAGACTGAATATATGACCGAATCTCTCTTTACTCTCTCTGAAGGGGTCTATGGCAAAGTTCTTACACGGCCGCATCCATGAAAAGAGAACATGATGCTGCATGGGAAGTGCTTGGAGCACATCTGACATAAGTGTTTATGAACCAGAGCTTTCTGTGTTACTCAGGCCTTTTATCAACCTAGGATGAGACTCATAAGGAACATGTGTGTCAAGACACCCATATGACTTAATCTAGAGTCACGGAGTTCTGGATAGGAATGGGGGTCTTAGTTTAGTATGTCGTGTATGCAATTTAAAAAAAGTCCCATTTCTGTGTCAGCTCCACAAATCTTGGAAAGAAAAATTAGCGCAAGCAGATCACAGTTGCTGAGGACTCGAATAGCATTCGGTGTAGGCAGAACCAGCATCGTTTCTACCGAAGTTAGAAGATGAGCTGCCAAGCCCTCCCCAAGGAGACACCGTGGCCCGTACCTGTCAGCTCCAGCTGCACTTGTGAGGCTGCGGCGAAGGTTGCATTCACCTTGCTGCTGGTTGCATTGAACCAGTCCACAGTGAGAGTTGCAGGCTGCCTTTTTCCCAAATATTCGTAATATCCCTTCCATACCGAATTGATGAAAAACACATCAGAAGGAACTGTTGATAGAAATGGGGACGGAGCAGAATTAAGACAGGCATTGGCGTGGAATCTGGACATTTTTAAAACACAGGAAAGCCTAAGACTGCCCAGTTAGGAAGCACAGTTAAGAACAGCCTTAAAGCCAAGGGTGACCTTGAGAACTGTGCTCTGAGTGTGTGCAAAACAGCAAAGGAGCAGGGATGCCAAGGCTGTGGCTCTCACTGCTCCTTGGGAAGTTATTGAAAAGAATGGCTGTGCTGGATTTATTAGACATGCCAGGTACAGAGGGTTCAGTGAGCTGATTGTGTTAGCTTTAGCTAGTAGGAAATGCGCTCTACTGAGCCCGACTACTGCTGCCAAACCTCCGTCTTCCAAATTTATTCTTTCACAGCCATGGGGGATCTGGAGGAAAGGACACTAACAGTCTGTCCGGGCTCCACTCCCAACAAATCGGCACTTTCCAGTACTTGATGGCTCCTGCCCTGAGAAGACAAGAGGCACACCCCTAGCTAGTATTCTATGCTAACTTCTATGGGGAAAAGCAGTCCAGTGTTAATTTGAAAGGCAGACAGGGCAATCTCATCTGTCACTTTTATATATGTTGCTTAAATATGGACATAACAGAGACAGGGAGTCTTTGTAACGTAAAATTCCTCTATGCCAAGAATTTTAAAAAAGGTAACTGGGTTATTCCTTTGGTTTTCAATGTTTATTACAGGTATTAAATTTGTCTTTTATGTCTCCCCTGCAATAGTCATATATAAATTCCTGTTCTCCTGATGATATTAATATAAACAAACAGAATGACACCTTGTAAGTACCCACCAACATTAGCACCATGTCTCCAAATGATTTCCACCTGATTAACATGCATTTATCATTTAATTAGTCAAAATTGACTGTAGATAGATAGCATGGGCCTCAACAATGTTGGCGTTGTTGGGGAGAAATATTTAGTTCTCTGTAAACATATAGCCTTTAGCAAATCTAACAATGTGATGGATGATGATGTCACAGGCATGCAACACCTACATCCATACTTCCCTTCCACTCCAACCAACCACCTTCCCATCTCCCTAGACCAGCCAAGCCTACAAAAACCAGACTAGCAAATTAATCATTATGGAAGAATCCAGTCTGATAGCCACCTATGGTTTGGGTATGCTCAAAGTACTAATAAAGATAAGAATGGATTAAAGTTAAATTAGTAAAAAGCTGATGTGTCCAAGTATTGAGGATACTTATAAATAAGCAACAATGAACATTTTTAATTATAAACAGATGTATCAGAGACCTTCATTTTACGCAAAACCCATAAAGTATCTTACTGTATGTTACAACAGCCCCTAAAGTGACCATTTACCCATTAGAATTTACATGGTCTGCTGAGGACTTTGTTGTATATGGTCCAGCTTCTGCCCTGAGCTACCACTGTGGGTACATTGCTATGACATGCCAGCCTGGCTGTTTAGAATTAGGAAGAACCTACAGCTTAGATTCTATCTCAATCTCTAAGCTGAGGTGTGATCATCGGTCACAGAGGAGATGCTTTCAGCTGGGGTCCTTTCCACCTCACTCTCTTACTGAGTCACGGGTAAGAACAAGGCAAGGATTAGATTTACCAACACCGTTTTCATCAGCATTTCCCTTTAGAGGAATAATATGCTGGTGCTAACGTGTGTGCCAACAAAGGCGTTTACAGCTATCCCAACATCTGTAACAACACAAAGCTGGCAAAGAGAAATGAGGATGAAAATCTATAATAACAAAAGCATATTCTGCTTAGTTCCCCAGGGGGAAATGCTACCTGGCCAAGTGCTTACTTTGTCATTGATTTATAAGTCGTATTTAAATAAGATCACTCAAAAATTCAAAGCACATTTTTCCTCCTCTTGTATAGACTGGGAAAAGTCCCCTAATTCCACTGGTACTTTCCTTCCTCATCTGAGAATTAAAGAGTAAGCAGAATTTGAACTATCAGCATTGCAAACAACCTTCCAGGTGGATTCTGGAATACCGTTTTATATCTAAGAAACTAGGGCTAAAAGCTGAGTAAAAAAAAAAAAAAATACTTGGTAAGTAGTTTTGTATTTTTACAAAGTTTTACTATTTTTGGTTAAAAGCAAAGTCAATCATGGCTTAAAACAAAACTGGTGGATCCGTCTTGTTCATTCAGTGCACGTTTGCGTTTCCCACAGATCCACTATGCAGATGGTTTCCAGCTGGGACACCTTTTCCTGGGAACAGCGGGGCAGCTATTGGATTCTCCACATGACACATTATCAAGGGGCCATATCTGGTGGCGGGATAAACCAACCCTTCATCCTGAAGTCAGAGGATGCCTGAGCTATGGAGATACCGGACCTCTCAGATAGTAACTTTAAAGTTGTCAAACGCCTCGGTGCGTGTGCTAATTCCCTTGAGGAAGGGGATTGCAACCCTATTTATAAGGCTCTCCATCATACCACATGTGGGGCCAAAGTGCCCAGTGTGTCTTCTAGTGAAGTCCCGTGACCGCACCATGTGTGATGACATTACGTGGTGACATCCCACTAACGAGCCACTCGGGTGAAGAAATTGAGATGTGTGCAGGCGCGGTGCTTAGTGGGGACCGACAGATTCGGGAATTTAAATGCTAAGAATGGTCTCACTGTGCAGGGCTGAGAACAAGTCAGTTTGGTTGAAAGCTAGAGCTCTTCTGGTATACGAACCTGGAGTTTTAGTAACTGTTTCATTAACTTCTCTCACTCCTTTACCTACAAGTAAAAAGACAAATTATCATTTTCAAAAACATTTATTTTTTGGAATCAGGTTGAAAAAAAATGTCAATTTGAAGCGATTCTCCTTCCTCTGGATTTATAAAAAGGTACAAAATATAAATATTGTATGCACAAACACTTTCGACCCGGGTATTCGTGGTAGAATCTCCTTGTGCGTGTGGAATCACTGAGCTCGGTGGTGAGGCCCGTTTCTGTGCATCTAGCTTGTAGGTTGGCGCTAAAGGTGCTACAACAGAGAGCCTTGCAAATGAGGGTGGCCGAGGGTGAGCTCCTGACAGTCTGAGAGGACATTGCTGCCACAAGCAGGAAATATCCCAAGAGAGGAAAATGTCACAGTCCCTCATTATCCCACTACATCTGTGGACTTATGGGATAACGTTGAAGAATGTCAGATTCCTTATCCCATACATCATGGAGTTTGTTCAAAACTAGATTTCTAAGGCCTCAGCTCTTATCCTAAGATGCAAACTATTTTATTAATCTTTTTTCTCTTCTACTTATGAAAAGAAATGAGACTCTTGAGAACTGTGAGCATGCTGGCTTCAGGGAATTCAGGCTGAAGTTGGGGTGCCTTGGTACCCTGAGGCGTCTGCACCCATTGCCCAGTGACTGTCACACAGGGTGTCCCAGGTCAGATGCCGATGGCCTTTCTCATCAGATCCGACTCAGACCCGGTCCTCCCCTCAGTACACTCATGCATTTGTGAGCGATTAAAGGCACTGTTCCCATGCTAATTGCAAGTTTGCAGTGGAACCGATATCAGTAAAAGAAAAACTGCCGCTTCACCACCCAATGGCTTGTGATCCTAAAAACAGCAGCACTCACTTTATATATGCTCAGGTTGCAGGTGTCATTTGTTGGCTCTTTTCATTGTAAAGATACACCATTCTCTGAGTGCGTATTGTTCTTTTAACTCAGAATGCTTCTCTTCAGCCAAACAGCTGTCCTCTGTGGTCTAAATTTCAGTTAATAACGAAGTCTACACATCCATTCCCTCTTGCTCCTGGTGTCAGCCACTTATGCACACATCCAAGCACACAGAGCCCAGGCACTGTGGAGCACTGTGGGGCACTGATGCTCCACCACAATGTCACATGAGGGTCCCCTGACCTGCACACTAGCCTGACCACAGGGGCAGCGCTTCCCGGCTCTTCCGAAGTATGTTTGCACACCTCAACCAGGGACTTACTTTTACAGACCGGTGATTTCCCTGTCCACTTCATATCGGCCTTACACGTCCTGTGTTCAGATCCACCAGCAAGGAAAAATCCCGGATGGCAGGTGTAGACTAAAGTGTAGCCAAAGGCTGGAAGATCGATGGCTCTCACATCTGCGTGTGCTGGGGTTTCTGGCTGCCGGCAGGCATGGGCTGAAAAGGCATTTACTCCGTTAAAAAACTTTGGGGCTGTCTGTTCGTTGTTAAAATGTTACATTACATGGGTCCATAGGAACTAACAGAGGGATATTCTACAAAGGGTTATCTACATAGGTATTGTACACCTGAGAAATGTGTGTGTGTATACAGACAAGCGTACATACATACACACATATGCATACATATATACACAAATATATGTAAGAATAATAATGTATAAAAATTTAGAGGAGAGATCCTAGCTTCATTAAAAACAGAATCCTCCGGTATAATACAAGAGAGATAATATGTTAAAAATCCTTAGTGTGGGGTTGGAGCAATGGCTTGCTATTTAGGATCCCTTCTTCTCCTCCTAGAGGACTCGAGTTTGTCTCCCGGCACCCATCAGGTGGCTCACACCCTCCTAGTACATCAGTTCCAGGGCCTCTTCTTCTGGCCTCTGTGCACACTGGCATACATGTAGACAGGCACAAATAAAAAATGAAAGTAAATCTTTAAAAATCAATAATAACCATTCCAATAAGCTAATATATGCTCAGATATATACCTGGGTTCTTGTCAGCTGTCATCAAATATATTTATTGCTTAACTAAATGGGTTTTAAATTTTGATGTGTTTTAGAAATTTAGTCAAATTATAAGCTACATAAGTCACAATGATAAGTTCTTTCTTCTTTTAAAAATATAATTTGGGAATAAATAAAGTTGGAAAACTCATGTCCTACCATAAATAACCTCATTTTATAAAATCCAATCCGTACATGTCTGTAAGTGAAGGACTTGCAAGATGGTTACAAAGCAAACCTCTCATTTTACAGTTGTGAATTCAGTTGCTTTAAGTATTGTCAATAGTTCATATTTGGGCACGCTTTCCATCTTTATTCCTGTATTATAATGCACTTCACAATGCACACACACACACACACACACACACACACATCTGAGTGTGCAGTGCTCGACTGCTTCTCCACATGGTTGAGCAGTGATGTTGATACGTCAGCTTTAAAACAAGTGCGCACCTGCTCATCCTGACAAGGAAATACACAATAGATCCCACCTTACCCGCCATTACAGTAACTTTTCACAGCCTTCAGTTGATGCTTTCATGCTCAACATCACAAGGTAGGGGGTTGCCTAAGATGAGTGGTGGGTGATGTGAATCACTAAGTTCACATCCCACAGCACTTTCTCATTCTCATGATCGAATCACAAAGCAGAAATTCAACCCATCCATCACGCTGTGGTGATCAGTCTTTACACACGTCCACGGGTCTATAGCCACAGCGCCACGCTGAGCGCATATACTGAGTCCCTGGCTCATTCCCTGATCTAGTGAATGGCGTGTGGACATGTGGAAGGACAGTCTGCACTCAGGGGTCTTCTGCCAAGCAGGGCTGAGGTGGAGGTCACTCTGTGCCTTGGGTTTCTGGCATTTGCCTCACATCTCCTGGGAACCTAGTTCCCGGTCACCTACTGCTTCATCCTCCCTCCCAAGATCTTCTGATGCATCAGAGCTTGGGGTTAAAGCCCATCATTATAACCAAGTCCTTGGCCTGGTTGGTCTGACTGGTCGAGGAACCTTAGGAGCATTTTGAGAAATGTACAAAATTAAAATTGGAGAATGAAAAATAAATGAACCCATTGCTCTTCACAGGTTCTCGGGAAACTGGGAGCTCTTTCGCAGACACTTTGCAATGGCTTTTGCAGCTGCAGAGGGAGAATCTGGACTTACGTATACACTCTGTCTGGATCCCACTCCATGTGAGGTTTGCAAGGCAGGTCCGTGTGGTGGAGCCTTGGATGTGGTAACCCTTCCTACATCTGAAGAACACGGTGCTTCCAACCTGAGGAGAAAAGCAACAGGGCTGCAGACAAAGGCCAGCACCCCAGAACCATGGGAGGTATACCAGGAACCTATGCTGCGGTGCCTCTGGAGGGACCAGCACACCACTTCTGCATGCATGGCAGACAACCTGTTGAGTCCTGGTGGTGGTGGTGGGGTTTTAAAGAAGAGGGAACTGGATCTGACAGTCAACATGCTTGTTTATTTGGGTCAACAGAGTCTGCTTTAGCATGGTGACAAATGCCTGTCATTCAGGAGGCTGAGATTTGAGGGTTGCAAGTTCAAGGTCAGCCTGGGACTTCATAGTGAGTTCCAGGTTAGCACCTGCATTTCAGAAGTCCCCCTCTTCCATTTATGCCTATTGGTTTATTTTCCCTCCCCTTACTCCCTGTTTCTGATATCCTACAGACTGCTCCTCAGGCGAACTGCTTCTGTTGAAGGCTCTAGAGGCTGGCCACCTGCCATGCTCTCCTGGGATCCGTCACACCTCAGTGTGTCAAATCTGTGAGCCGTGTCTGTTACCTGAACATCTTTCCCATCTGACGCCTTCGCGTGTGCCTCATCTCTCTGTCTCCCTCCACCCAGGGGCCCTGCTGTTCTCAGGCCTTTCCCTGAGCCAGAGTCACTGGCCATTCAGTGCTATGGCTCCCTCCACATTCTTTCTCCTGTTCCCACCTAACCAGCAGCGATTTCGAGAAAGCCAGGTTTCCTTTAGACAATAACCTACGGTCGTGCTTTGGGTACACCCAGCATGCATCATTCCCACACTTGAAACAGAACCACAGGCAAGGTAGAGGAAAGAAACAATTATCACGAGAGAGCTGTCTGCTGAGGGGCAGCGCTGCCCGGGGCTCGCTGCATCCACGGCATTTCTTTTGCACCTAGCAAGAGTTCACAGATTCCAAAGTCTGTCTTCACACAGCTCCGAGGCTTTAAACTGTTCTTTGTCTTCTCGTGAGTACTAGACTGCACTATTCCTCGCTCCACCTCCACCTCCACTGGGGGATTTTGGAAAAACTATAATTAAAACCATGAGAACCTAGCTAGCACGTTGGATGAGAGACATGCTGGGGGTGTGTGTGCTCTGGTCACGTGATGAAGTAGCAGTGAGGATTTATAACCCATGGAAAAGAATTCACCTAAAGATCTAATCAGGAACTGGTACCAATTGGAGAGAAATAACAACCTGCTCCCTTTCCGGCAGGGATGGTTCCTGTCACATATGACCTCCCAGGCTTCCTGGTGACACAGTGATGGGATGCACCAATAGGAAGAGAGCCCCGCCATTACCTGTTCAGTAAAGCAGTTTTAGGCAGATATGCCGGCCCACGGGAGCAGACTGTGTACCTGACCTGTCCTGTGGTTCTATGGGACAAGGCTGACCAGACAGCTGACAAGTAGCTAGTTGCTCGACTTCTGCAATTAGCCTAATGCAGATGGAGCCTTCCAGAACTTAAGAGGCTCCTTCCTAGAGGTGGTGTTTCAGCACACAGCTCAAGAAAAAAATATACCTGGATCTAATGAAGAAGCAAACTCCAGGGCAGGCTACATCTCCCAGTTCCAGCCTCAGCTTTAAAATGCCACGTCCGTGTCTTTTAAACAATAATGAGTCATTAGCCTAATGCAGATGGAGCCTTCCAGAACTTAAGAGGCTCCTTCCTAGAGGTGGTGTTTCAGCACACAGCTCAAGAAAAAAATATACCTGGATCTAATGAAGAAGCAAACTCCAGGGCTGGCTACATCTCCCAGTTCCAGCCTCAGCTTTAAAATGCCACGTCCGTGTCTTTTAAACAATAATGAGTCACGTTGTTGGGAGCTGTCTCTTGTTAATCCCCTTCGAAGGGGGTGAGGCATTTCTCTGTCTTGTTCAGCTTTTTGTGACTCTACACTGTGCCCAGGTAGGCTAGGAAATTCTGAAATTTGTGGTGACCAATAGTAATCCTTTTCCAAAGTGCATCAATGAGAGCAACACCCATTTATTTTCCAAATGACCAGAAATTTGGAATTGAACATTTACCTGTCAGAAGGCATCTAGCTGAAGCCTGAGGCCGTGCCTGGATCATAATACACAATGCGCTGAATTCAACCCATCTACTATGAGAATTATTCTGGGGGACTCCAGAGGGAAGTGACAGAATAGCCAGGGAAGATGGATCGTGCCAGTAAAAATAGAAACACTCCAGTGCTCCTGAGAGAGAGCATGAAGTGGCGCAGGGAAAAGACTTTTATTCTAGACTGGTGGGGCTATTAACTTGAAAAGAGCAAACACATCTAACTCTGGCCGTCTGAGTCATGTCACCGACAGCCAGGTGTCACTTGGGAGAAATCCCATGAAGGATGGCCACATCAGATGCATCATCTTCTATTTGCAGTATGTCTCCATTAATTGTAGCAATGATGTACACCATATTAAAGGCAAAAGAACATCTCAAAGCGATGCTCACGTGCCAACAATTGAAGCTGCTTTAGAAGATCGTCACGAGAACTAACCTTGACGTGGAATACATGCTGTATTCTGGCTGTGCTTTTCTTTCTGGAAATGTGTATCATTTTCTGATGGTGTTTTTATTTTAATGTCTCCGTACATTCTGACTTGGTAATTGCCCTTTATGTCACTAAACCGAAAGTACACAGTCATGTGTGCCTCTCAATGAAAACAAGTATAGCCACTGGCACAATGCTAATGGATAGGTGAATTGGCTTCTGTGGAGAAGTCCTGGTTGAAAGAATCTTCTGTGCAAACATGCAATACGCACACGCCAAGGAATACAGCACTGTACACACGTGATTGCTATCATTTAGGTCTCATGCCTCCAGGGCACAGAAAAGGAAAGGGAAGTACCTCATATCCTTTAGAGCTATTCTGGATTCCAAAGTGGGGAGTGCCAGGGTCTGGGCAAGCGGTGTGGGCTGGATCTGCAATTCACAATTACAAATAAATTGTAGCACCTTTATTGCAAGAGCTTGCAAAATTAGACACTATTTTCAAAATGCACATGATATTTTATATGACCTGTTAAAGTAAGTGGCTGCCTCTATCTCCTTGGATTCTATATCAGTTTTTAAAGTAGATTTGCATATTTACACCTAATCTGCACACTCACATCTAATTTGCATATTTGCATTTGTCTGCGAATAGGTCATTTTTCCCTTACTCTCTGGCACCTGTCTCTCTGCTGATAGAAACTTGTTCCTGAATATTAAAATCTAGTAAATCATTTACTACTCTGATCTTCCAGTTTGTACAGATTCGCTGTTGCAGTTGCTCATCCATATTAGTCCCTCTTCCCTCCCTCCCTCCCTCCCTCCCTCCCTTCCTGTCTTCCTTTTTTTGAATATCATTTTCTTAAGTTTTCAAGGTGAGAATCATATATAATGTTCCAGTGGAGAATTCTGGTAATATATCAGGGGCATTTTTCATATGTGTGGGATGTACACAGATAAGAGGGCACATTGTTGCTGCTCCTAGCTGTCCAGAATAACATTGACGGGGCCTTAAAAGTGTTCTCCTAGGTCTCCTGGACAGTCAAGGAGACACTGCTAATCCAAAGCAGTCTGACATGCAGCAGCTTAAAGACAAATGGCAGGCAATGATCCTGGAGTGAAAGGTGTCAAGGAAATTATTTCTAATGCTGCCTTTAGTTTTAGATATAAGCAATTTGATTTCTGAGAACAGTGCTGAGGCAAAAGCTCTTAATTCCTGTACTGTAAATTTGCACATGAATCGCAAAGAATAGTCTCTTCGCTGTGGGGATGGTTGCTAGGGGATGGTAATCATTGCATCATCCAGAAGACCCCTGCCCTGGAGACAAAGCTGTGAGCCCTGGCTGGAGATGAAGGTGCACGGGTAGGTAAGAGTCCATCAGGCTTCTCAATCAGTTTCCATGGTCTGAAGGAGGCTGACCTTCCTTTAGCTGTACTGATTATCGTTTTTCTGGCCAGGTCCTTGCGCAAGCTACCATCTAAGATGCAGCTACAAATGAGCCTGAGGACTGTGGTGGCATCAGCCCACAGTTGCCCCTGCGCCCTCGCTGTGCCAGCGCGTTACCTATACAAGTGGGCTGGACTCCGCTCCACGTTCCGTCCGCCTGGCAGGTTCTCCTGGAGGACCCCACCAATATGAACGGAGGTTTGCACTGGATGAAAACCTCAGACTTAAAGGTGAAGCTTTTCCCGCTGAGCCGTCCATCGGCAGGAGTGCCAGGATCGCCACAGAACACAGCTGGGGAAAGAAACAGGCCGCGTCAGCACACTCAGCATGCCTGGACCAGGCTAGTCTGTTAAACCTGTTTAGATCCTAGGGCGGCTGCAGTCTGCCACTAAACCAGCAAGCTCCTAAGGAGAAGGCACTGTGAGGGCTAATGTTATGGTAATTTTACATTTAAAAGTTTAAAGTCTCTGTGCCTAAGAGAAATATAAAGTGAAATTAGACATCCAACCGTTAAGGGCTTTTAAGGGTTAAATTTTTTATGGCCATTTCCATTTCTGTCAACAAGCCTGCTTTGCTTTGCAGGAGATGACCTTCTGCTTGCTAGAACAAATATGAACTGTATTCTCTGCCTTTACAAACCCCTGACTGAGGTGGCTGGGTGCTGTGTTTAGGAATCCCGAGTCCCTGGTATGCAGACTTGGCACCAGTACCTGAACAGAAACCTCTTCTTTGTAATAATTTATTAGTGGCTACACTGGGATCTCTGAACCACCTCAGACCTGTAATAGCACCTGCCTTTGACCACACATGCTCAAGTCTCAGGTTCACACAATTTGACCACAATCACACATGCTGCTGGAGGTACCTACCCCCACCCCAGTGTCTGTGATCACAGAACACACTCTACCCTCTGACTTACGCAAGCACTGAGGGACTTCTCCTTTCCACACGCCACGCCCTTCACAGGACAGGATGGCCGAGTGGGAGAGCTGGTAGCCATCCACACAACTGTAGCTTATGCTGGCACCCCAGCGGAAGTCTGATCCCTCCACCTTCCCGTGTGGCACCAGAGGAGGCTGACTGCATAGGACAGCTGTTGCCAAGAATAAACAGGTCAAATACTGATGGATATACCAGCAGGGCTGTTTATGTCCCCCCACTCCACACTTCCCCCCACCACATCCCTTACTGTGGCTCTTACCATGGCTCTGACCACAGCTTGGGCCATTGCACCCATCCTAGAGCTTGCCATAGACCATACCACCTAGCACCAGCCTTATCCTCCACCACCACACCTCCCACAGTGGCTCCGTCAGCCTTCCTGTTACTACTGACTGGAACAGTGACAACATGAGGGTTTTTCTCCTGTTATTTCTTCCTTAGCTCAGAAGAAACATGAAAAAGTAACCATGAAGTCAAACCACAAAGCACCGCAGGATGAAACAGTATTACATCCCCTGTGCTGGTCACACACATAGCCAAAGGGGAAAAAAATTCTATGTCATTTTACTCCCGATATTAAGAACAAACCTAAGGAGGGCTTGGTCATATAACATCAGTGAAGCTTCAAATTTATGTTAGAGTTGACAAGACTTTCTCTTGACATCAATAATTTTATTTATTTAAAGATAGCATATAATTTACCCAAAGACACTCATGCACTTATGAACAGTAATTCTCTAAAGATTTTAATTACATGTATTTTTGTGTGCATATGTGCATGCAAGCACAGGTGCCTGTGAGACCAAAAATGATAGGTACTTTGGAGCTGGAGTTACAGGTGGTTCTATGTACCCAGCACGGGTGCTGGAAACCAGACTTGGCTCCTCTGACAGGGCGATGCACTCTCTCAGCCACTGAACCATCTCCCCAGACACCCTGAATAACTTTTAAAGAGCAATTCATAAACGTCTGAAAACGGTTCTGTGGAATGAGAGTTGCTAGAGTTTCACTTGAGTATTCACTCTCTGGGACACTGCGAAGACAAAGCAAGAGGTGATGGCTCATCGGTCCACCTGCCGCACTCCAGAGCGGGAGAACTCCCCAAGCAACATGTGAACATCCCCTTTGAAGATGAGACGCTTCCTGACTCGGGAATCAATGGCACCTTGGGTGGCAGAAGGCAGCAGGGGAGGACATGTTTGCAAGTGTTCATACTCACCCATGCCAGGTCTTGGGGGAAGCACCTGTGGGGCACACAGTCGCCAACACATGAACCTAGCAGGGGGAAGCGTTCCCTGGCTCTGACACTCAGCCTTCTGCCCATTTAGTCATTGGCTTAGCGAATACTTCTTGAGAACTTCTCAGAGCTGGTGACTGAGGGGGAACCTGTATTTGTGGACCACCCAGGGAAGGATGAACACTAGCGCTCAACAGAGGATACCATGTGAGTAGTGGGGAAAAGGCCAAGAAGAGATGGAGTGGGAAGTGGGGGTATCAGGAGGACCCTGTGACTGACTATGGGTAGGATGGGTATTCCGAAAGGAATACAGTGTAGAGACATACACAGAGTCCCAGCAGCCAGAGGTTAATTCACCGCTTCCCACTGTGAACCCTTGACCCAGACACATCCAACATAGCTGGAGTGTATCATTACACATTCATTGGTGCCAGTAACAAAGCAAACATGATGCTGGGTCACTAACAATATAAAAAACAAAAGAAGAGCATGAAACCCTTAGACACATCAGGAAGAACAAGGGTGACCCAATAGCATGTCTGGTGGGGGGTGGAGGAAACAAGAGCTGCAGGGTGTCAAGGCATCAAATTCACAGGCCCAAGCGTCCCTCTGAGACCCAGACGACAGCACCTTTCCCTAGACCTCCTCAGTACCCCAGCCCCCACTCTTATGCCCTTGTTCCCAATCAGTTTAAGGAAAATGCCATGAGTTTATGCATGGCCACCATAGCATCCTAGCTTCTGCCTTTCTTTCCCTTCATGTTCGATGCCAGGTCAGTAAGAGGAGAACACAGTGGGACACTTCATCTTTTGATTATGGGATCCCTGGTGTCCACAGGACTCTCACAGTCCAGCTTCCCTGTGACTACACCAACCCTACCCCATCTGGCCAGAGCCTACCAGATCGCTGAGTGTCAGGCTGTGTAAGCCACAAGCCTTCCTGATCCTTCTCAGTGTATGTCCATCTCCTTTTTTTACATCTGACCCCCTCTCCCAGAATACCCAGGTGCTGATCCTCCATCTGTATTCTATTGTTGTCAGATAGCCAGTGGTAGGCTCCTGCCTCAGCGTTCCTGAACTAGACTCACCATCATGTCAATAACCTATGTCCCATCAGCTTATTTATCAACAGTGCCTAAAGCTGCCAGACCCAAACACCTTCTAGAGCAGTGGTTTTACAACCCGTGGGTCAGGACCCCTTTGGGAACTGAATGTCCCTTTTACAACACAGATCTTACCACTACATTTAAAACAGTAGCGAAATTACAGTTATGAAGTAGCAATGAAAACACATTTCTTACCACTACATTTAAAACAGTAGCGAAATTATAGTTATGAAGTAGCAATGAAAACACTGATCTTACCACTACATTTAAAACAGCGAAATTACAGTTATGAAGTAGCAATTAAATTAATATTATGGCTGGGGGTCACCACAGCCCGAGGAACTGTGATAAAGGACCACAGTATTAGGGAGGTTGAGAACCATTGCTCTAGAGGTAGGACAAGTTACAGGGACCTCACCTTCTCCACTCAGATAATTCTAATCTTGAGCCATTCACTGTAGCCCCTCCATGACTCAGTTTCCCCATCTCAGGAAAATAAAGGGAGTAGACATTTACATAGGTCGAGAAGAATTGCTGGGACTCCAGGCTTCTGGGACTGCTTCCTGAGCACAGAAAGGATGCAGCACTGCCCTGCACAGACTTCTAAACCCACAATGCCAGGTAAACGATGGCACACACCTTTGCAGATGGGCCTGCTCTGATTCCACGTGCCATCTTTGGTGCAGCGGATGGTGGGTGATACTGGGGGTTCCATCAGGTAGCCGGGGTTGCATTGATAGCTCACGGTCTTGTTGAACGTGAAGTCTGTCCCAAACTGGATGCCGTTGGGCAGGGTGCCAGGATCCCCACAACTGATGACTAAGAGGCAGGGAGCAGGAAAGAGCCAGACAGATGTAAATTACCGTGACAGGAACCAAACCCTGTGAGTGTCCTTCTGGGAAGCAGCAGGGAACCAGAGAGGGGTCCAGCCCCAGGGCAGATTCCATCCACCTGCTGGCAAGTTGTTGTGTTTGACATTGGAAACTGCTGCTCTGTTGATAGGGGGCCAGGTGATCGTCAGCCCTTGCTGTTCCTAACCAGGACACACCCATAGCTACAGACAAGAACAAAATAGCTTATTTCTTTTGAAACTGGGGGTGGTCTGGAGCCAGAAAAACTTTGTCTCTCTCTATGGTTCTTCCTTCATTGCAAAGCCTTCTTGACCATTTAAATAGCTTCAGCTAGGTATGCCAAAGAAACAGAATCTTAAAGCAGCCAAGAAAACAGTGCATCACAACAAACTTACAGTATTCCTTTATCCTGAATGATTTTACAGAAGCAATAGATTCGGAAATTCCACTGTCTCCCTCAACTTATGGGCTTCCTGGACCTCCCACCCCTGGCTCCACCTGAGCAGGTACTGACTTGTACAGTCCGGTGCTGTGCCCGTCCAGGTCCCGTTGGCCGTGCAGTGCCGAGTCGTGAGCCCCGAGGTTTTGTAGCCTTCCCAGCAGGCGTAGATGACGGAGCTGGAGAAAAGGATCCCATCGCTGCTGAGGATCATCCCATTGGTGGGGGTGCCAGGATTTCCACAGGATACTGCTGTCAGGAAGCAAAGACAGCGGCCCACAAAGGAGTAAGCTAGGACCGAAGCTTAAAACAAGGGAGACCAATGAGTGTGAGCTTCTGATGGGAATGGGGGAACATCTGTGTGGGATAAATCCAGCCTCTGTCTTACTTGACCCCTCAGATTTATTTGTGATTAGCCACAAAAGTAGAAGCTGTATTTTCACATCTTTTCTGATAAAACATGGATTTTGAAACATTGAAAATCCAAAGCTTTGCTACACTAAGCTTGAACATACTTTTCAGCAATGTAGAATTATCATGAACTTTAAAAAGTATTATATGGTATTAGAGCTCAAAAACAACTTCCTTCATAGCATTCTTCATTTGTTTGAAATCTGGAAAAATAAGGCCATATGTTATAACTGTAGCAGAGTTACCTTGGGGAGCAAAAAATACCTCAGGAATGCAGTTAACTGTGCCTATTAGAACATAGTCTTCCTCATGCTATCAAATCTACCCATGCCTGTACAAATGGCTGTCACATGACTTCACTTTGTGCTGTTCTCAAAAGTATCTTATGTCCCCTACAGGCTCTCAGACCTCAGTTAATGATGCTCAATGCAACAGGGTAGGACCCTCTTTCACTGGGGGCACCCTAAGTCATCAAGCAGAGGAAATACCTCCTCTACTGGGGACAGATCATAGTGGTGGCCTCAATGTTGAGTATTTTGTTCTTTGTATTTGAGACCATTATTGGAATAATTATTGTATTTTCATCTCGGGTCTGTCACAGTGATGTGTAGGAGAAGACAATAAGTCATGAGACTCTTACTAGATAGTAATAAGAAGTCTACAGCATGAGACTCTCTGAGAGTGGTCAGTGTGTTTGAAAACACTCTTGCATATTTAACTGTTCCACTTTCAAAGCTACTTGAGAACAAAGATGCATATCTCCTTAAATAGGAAGAAAGCCAGTTCTTACTTCATACAGAATATGCATAAAAGTTCAAGTTGAGCTGGTTCTTGTTTACAAAAAGAATATAAAGCACACATATCTGTACTTCTCTGCCTATGCCCATGGCAGGCATAACTAATCAATAATAATCCAGTTCTACAATGAATATGATTCTGAACCTACATTTCTACCTAAATCAGATCTTTCAGCAATATCCTGCTTGATATTTGTGTTAAACAGTATTTGTCAATTTACCCATGATTCCTTAAAACATGGACATACACTGAGAAGGATCAGGAAGGCTTGTGGCTTACACAGCCTGACACACAGCGATCTGGTAGGCTCTGGCTGGATGGGGTAGGGTTGGTGTGGTCACAGGGAAGCTGGACTGTGAGAGTCCTGTGGACACTAGGGATCCACATAGTCAGGACATCCCATAATCAAAAGATGAAGCATCCCACTGTGTTCTCTTACTGACCTGGCGTCGGACATGAAGGGAAAGAAACCATTCCTACCTCCTATGGAGGTCAGATATACTGACCCAAAATGCCACCCAGATTATAACTTTAGATTGTTTTGCAGTCGCTGTGCACGAAGGCACCAGCAGAGTGATGTCAGAAGTGATGGACTCCCTGCCCATAGAGATTCTGTCTTCTGATTGAGCTGCTTCTCCTCATTGCCCCTCAGCCTCCGTTTACCTCCAAGATCCATATAGCAAGGCATCAGTCACAGATAGGCATTGGATTAGAAACCCACTTTTGTGTGATAAACATTCAAAGGATAATAATTAGCAGGATAGGTCCTTTGGACAGTCAGGGATATTGCTAGGGCTCACTCAGAGTCTTGGTGATACTCTTGAAACTTTCGGGAGAAGGGCTCAAGGGTACAAGTGATCCAATCCTCTAGAGGTCCCTCTGGATGCTCCCAGTCACTTTAGGATGAAGAGCCAGTGGTTGAGAGGACTGCGGGGCCTGAATCACTCACCTTCACACACAGGCTGTACTCCTGACCATGAACCGTTCACCAGGCACGTGCGCTCTGCAGAGCCCCGCAGTTGGTGTCCCATCTCACAGGAGAAACGCAGAAGACTCTTTGTCTTATACTCATCCCCAAGGCGAGACCCATGTGCAGGGGTCCCTGGATCACCACAGAATCCAGGACTGTTTCCTAAGGAGAACAAAACACAGTGGATGAATGCCTTGTTTAGATCACGTTGCTTTGTGTACAACTTCAAAAGCAATGAAAGCTTTCTTAAATATGCTTTTAAAACAGGCTATGCTTTTCACAGTACTGTGGCATCTGGGAAGAAATGTTTTCTTTGTCATACTTTCTAACATGGAAGAAACTTAAGATGGCGTTTCTCTGTCACTAAATAAAAAATGGTTGAGGAGAGGTGAAGTACTGAGATGCAATAACAGCAGCAATCCAGGACCGTGAGCGTGGGAAGCAAGAGAAATGGGGGCTCAGGGATACCAGCCACACAGGGACACCACTATTCTTCATGGAGACATCTAGAGTTACTAAGTATTACAGCTCACTTAAAGATGGCCCACAGAAAAATTAAGATGTGAAAACGGGTGAGAGAGACCTACTGTACTAGAGGTGAAAATGTGGGAAAACAGAATAGAAGCCAATAAAAAACATTCAACCAAGATAAGCAAGAGCTCCAGCAGGTGATCTGAAACCCTTGCAGAAGGAAATGCAGAGATGGACCTGTAAGGATGGGGGGGGATACTACTGCTGATTCAACAACAAGAGTCAGGGATAATGATGGAGATGTTGAAGAAGACCTTATGGACCTGTGATGTGGCTTAGTGATGGGGTGAGGTTGACATGATGGTGGGTGATCTTGGTGTTGGGGACCAGTAATAATGGTGATGATGATTCTGGTCATGACTTATGTGGTGTGGCCTATGATAAACTGATGGAATTGATGACGGAGACCAGTGATGATGGTGAAGATGATGTTGATCTATGGGATAAAGACCAAAGGTTGTGGTGAAGATGTCAATGCTGATACCTCCTATGGTGAAGACCAGAGATGATGGTAATTATCTACACTAGAAGCATATTTTGCATCATTACAGGTATGTGTGGAACTATTCAATGCTCTGAACACAGGGCTCCTCACCTGAGCAATGGGGAAGGGCTCCACTCCAGTGACTGTCTTCTTGGCAGACTCTCGTGCTGTTGCCTGTGAGGGTCTGGCCCCCTTTGCAGGAGTACTGGACTGTGGCTCCGTATGTAAACAGATCTCCAGTGAGGACAGCATTAGCAGGAACCCCAGGATGCCCACACGATATAGCTGCGGATGAGATTAGAATAAAGGAGGATATATGTTTTGCACAGTAAGGTTCCCATTACAGTCCCCACGTCCTCCATTACCCATTAAAGAACAGGACCTAAGTATGCCCTCTATAGAAAAGAAATGGCCTTTTCCAGACAGCATTTACATACCTAGTTATTGAAAAAAGAAAAGGTAGCGGTGATATAATTTTTTGACTGTAGAGAGCTTTGCTTAAAGTTGGAATTTATGAGTCACCCTTCAAGGGGAAAAAACAGTTGCCTCCCTTTATCTGTCTAGCTCTAATTGTATTCTGTGGGAGAAGAAGGGGAATCTTTTTTCAAGGGAAAACCCATACAATTCCATCAGAACTATTCGCATAACTTCATCAGTTAACATGATAATCATACAGTTTGCTCCAAGATAAGATTAGATTAAATTTACTTAATTAAGCTCATTTGTCTAGGAGAACCAGCCTAGTGAGCATACTTTTAGTGGGTTGCAATCTAAAATGTGTAAAGTAAAAATAACAAATGAGAAACTGACTCCCCTTCAACACAGTCTAAAAAATCATCTCGGTGGCTTCATTCATATCTTTAAAATTACGCCAGACTGAGTCTATAATCTGTGGTAAACATCCTTCAAAAAGATGTGTTCCAGGATCTAGATGAACAGAGTACCGGGCATTCTTCGTGAATTACCTAATGCGGGTAGGGACAGACACACTGCAACGCTTCACGCAGATGACTAGCTGGGTGGAAATTACCAGTTACTTATTCAAAGGCATGGATTCAACATCAAAGATGAACTCTTTTTGATCACTAGCAGCACAGCAGTGATGTGGACCAGAGAGGAGGAGCTGGAGCTGGAAGGCAGACCCTCCCCTGGGTCCCATTAGCCCTCATTATCTGTCTAGCTTTAGCACTAGTTCAAGTGCAGACCCATGTTTCATCTGGAGTCCTAAAAGGTAGCCAATTAGATCCAAAACACCGAAGTGTTGGGTAAATGGCCAATGCTGGCAGAAATAAGAGGACAAAAGGAAAACAATCCAAGAAAGCAAGCTAAGGCAACACAGAGGCGAGGCTGAACCTCCCTGGAGCATGTCAAGTTCCCCTTTGAGATGCTCCTTCCCACCTTCTTGTTGTTAAGGACTAGAGGGACAAGGAGGGGTAGAAGTGGGGACCAATGAGCCAAGGGACAAGATGTTTGTTAAATACCAGGGCTTGCAGATCAAGCACATTAGCATCAGTATAATGGCTGATGGGAATCTCCTAAGAGCAGGCGAGAACAAGGTCAAAAGGAAGGAAGGGGGAGAGACTGTGGCCCATTCATAGACTGAATGAACTCTGAGTACTCAACACTCCCTTTCTTGGTGGAAAGAAACCGCAGTGTCAGAGTCTCTTTCTGTGTAGGGCTGGGGAGGAAAACTCCCTTGAAGTAGGGGGTGGGTGAGATGATCCCATACCTATCCACCCTCAAAGCTCTGCAGCGAATAGGGAGGAGGCAGTTTGTAGCAAAGGAAGCTCCTGCCCCAATGCCACCTGTCTCCTGCGCATTATTATGAAGGTGACATTTCATTTTGACTGTAAGGACTGCTCTGCTCTTGCCTGAGTTGAGAAACCCAGACAGTGGTATTTTCTAAATGGATAGGTTAAATTTGGAAGATGATTCCTTCTGTGCTGCAGGACAGTTTTATTTTGTTTACAGGGGGGAAACATTGTACTATGGAGGCAAGTATAGACAGATACATTCTCATTCATCTCCATCTTCTTAACCGAGAGGCAGCAAATTCTTTGGGACCTTGGTGACTGTTTAGGTCTTCATCTGTGCAGAAGGGCACCTCTGCCCTTCACAGGTTTAACTAAGAATGTAGTCCACAACCTTCAATTGGTCTATTCATTTCCTTGTATCAGGTTAATGCAGTTTTTTAAAATCTTATTCCTACCTTTTGGGGTCAGGGTATTTTAAGGTATTTAAATGGCAATTAAACACAGGTGATTTCAGTATTCACTGGAACTCCCTCCTGATACTATCCTATGTTTCTGTTTTATTATTTTTCTTGCTGGTACTAGCCTACGTTTCTGTTTTATTATTTTCCTCGCATCTTCATTCTCTTTACTTATTTCTTTTTTCTTTCTTTCTTTTTTTTTTTTGATTTTCGAGACAGGGTTTCTCTGTGGTTTTGGAGCCTGTCCTGGAACTAGCTCTTGTAGTCCAGGCTGGCCTCAAACTCACAGAGATCCGCCTGCCTCTGCCTCCCGAGTGCTGGGATTAAAGGTTTACTTATTTTTCTAATCCTTATGATTCTACCCAGCTAAGTGGTTTACTTGCCAAAGCTGGTCTCCGGCAAGGTAAAGAGTAAGTCAGTCTCACAGACTAAAGCAGGCAGAGGTGGCTATGCAGAGGCAGAGGTAGAGGTGAGACATCCTTTTCTCCCGTCTCACACTCATTTAGGTTATATTTGGTGGCTCACCCATATTAAGGATTGGCAGACACGTGACAGGAGAGGGAGAAAGAGTGAAAATTTAGTGTTTACAAGACACTGTGGAAATGCATTCCTATTGCTGCCGTTGCCTTTGGCGCTGTGGCTGAGAAGCCCACTCACCCAGACACTTGGGCAAGGAGCGATCCCACAAGCCGTTTGCCATACAGGTCAGGGCGGAAGACCCCAGCAGGTAGAACCCCTTCTTGCAGTGGTACATCACGCTCATCCCATATTCGAAGATCTCCGGAAAGGTCTGCTGTCCATGGCGAACTGCGTTTTCCACAAACCCAGGATCTGAACAGTTTACCACTAGAAAACGAAGCATTTCATATAGATGAAGCTTTTATTCCCCAGGCATAAAGAGGAGTAAAGCTACGTCCTCTGGAAGACAAAGAGGCCAATGGTAGATGATCACATTAAGTATATGACACGAGTCTCTGAATGACAACTTTTTGTTTCCTCTTCTTTTCAGGCTTTAGATTTCATATAGATACATAAAATCATATATGTATGCAGTACAGGAAAATATGTATGACACTGTCCAGGGGACAAAGGGGAACAGAGGGTGGGGCTATAAAAGAAGAAACGTGGGGCATGGGGGAATATGCTCAACATACAATAGTGTTGTGAAGATGCCCTATGTAAACAGAATCTTTAACAATGTATATACAATGAATTTAAAAATAACTTCATAAATTACAATAGGAAACAAGCAAACAAAGAAGCAAAATCCTATGCCAAAGTGCAAAAGAAAGTAAGTTTTAAATCAATTAGATAGTTTATGAAGGCAAAAGCTGATCTGGGAATCTCCTCATGAATTTCTGATTCCCCTCTTGGTTGTATTTATTCTTTGTTATAGACATGCTGAGCATCAGATTGGCTACTATTATAGTTTTGAAGTTAGGAGGCCAATCTAACTATTTCCTAAAAACATGCTTCTTCAATATACATTTTAAAGCAATTTTCTTCCTAAGTTTTTACATCCTAGAAACGTGATGTAATGGCTCTGGTTTGAATAGGTTTATTAGAGTACAGTGTTTGAGATCTGGGACACCCTTGTTATTTAGTCACACCCAACCTATACATATTTATGTGTGCCCCTAAAGGAACGGTGCTGTCAATACACCGTGATGGCGGCTGAAAACGGCAGTTCTCCCATCAGCGCCTCGTGGAAATGTAGGTTAGGCCACCTCTGATGGGAACCCTCTTGCCTCCGGAGGAGAGAGGAAAACATTCTCAGCGGTACAGGACACGCTCTGGTTATGCTGAATGGCTTCCATTAGCCCAAATGCCCATGAGCATCTTGGGAGGAATTAGCAGCAGGCGTCCTCAGGTGCAGACTAGCAAATGGCCTGATTACCTCACACTTCCCCCACCCTGCCAGCGAATGGGACAGCTGCCATGGAGCAAGCACCCTCTCCAGATAAGTCTGGCTCGGAAAAGAGCTTTGCACAGAATTCTCAGCAGCCACTGCCCACGGTGGGCTCTGGAAGCTGAAAGCAAACCACAGCGCACTGTTTCTATAACCAAGATGTAACCCAAGAGCTAACCTAGCAGGGATGACTTAGCTGGAGGCAATGAAATAAACCTGAGGATGGTTTGCAAAAGCTGGAACAAACAGCTGCACCCCGGGCCAATGTTTGGCATGGCAAGCCCAGATCAAGATAACCAAAGACCAAATGGTCCCTTGAACAGAGAAGTACCACCTTCCTGAGCAGACAAAGGGCAGCTAGAGGAGTCTGTGATTTATAGGGCACCCCCTGGCACACAGTGAGCTGACTCAGTTGAGTCTTCAGGGCCTGTGTTGTTGAAGGAGCGGCAGGGCTGCGTCCCTTGCACCCGGCCGCCCGCATGGCTAGCTTATGCCCCAAAATAATTACACGGAAACTGTATTTTTTCAAACACTGCCTGGCCCGTTATCTGTAGCCTCTTATTGGCTTGCTCTTACATATTGTTCTAACCCATTTCTAATATTCTGTGTAGCCCACGAGTTGGCTTACCAGGGAGGATCTTAACCTGCGTCTGTCTGGAGTGGGAGAATCATGGCGACTCCTTGACTCAGCTTCTTTTTCCCAGCATTCTCTTCTGTTTACTCCACCCACCTAAGGGTTGGCCTATCAAGGGGCTTAGGCAGTTTCTTTATTAATAAGAAATCACTCCCACATCACTGTGTTAGACAGGACACACTCTCATTGGGACCTGCGCTGATGTGCAACAGTCTGGAACCCTGAGTTCTACACAGGTTGTGTGTGTGTGTGTGTGTGTGTGTGTGTGTGTGTGTATGCATTAGCATTTCACTTTGTCTGTACCTTGGGGCACAATAATCCATCCCTAGAGACTTTTTTTTCTTTTTTCTTTTTTCTTTTTTTTTTTTTTTACCTCGACAGATAGGCAAGGGGCTGCTCCACTGGCCATTGCTCCGACACTGGGCCCTGGAGGCACCCTGCAACAAGTAGCCCGTGTGACAGGTGAAATTCACGAGGTCGTTCAAGTTGAACTCGCTGCCATTGGTGAGCCCATGGGCAGGATTTCCCGGGTGTCCGCATGTGATGGCTGTGGGAAGCAAGGTCTATATTATTGCCCACGCTAAACAAGGTACCTCTCCCACCTGGAGTCACTGAGAACAAATGGGTAGACATGAAAATGTATGGACGGAAGGGTTTCCTAGAGACATCGAGGGTGGTGTTCTGGTGTGGAAGATCTGGGAGACAGAACAATGCACAGAATTTAGGGCCTTTTAAAAAAAAGAATTTAGGGCCTTTAGTTTTGATGGTGGGCAATGATCTCTACCACCAGAACCCTTGCCCTTTACCCCAGGACTAGTGCCCTTGAAGCAAACCAGCAGAATGCCAACTGACTTGGAACAAAGCAGCCAGACATAAGGTCCAATCTTTTGTTTATCTAGGATTTTGAGTATTTCCCACTTGGTACAACCAGCTGATGTCCTGAAACTGTCATTTGGAAACACTCTGAGCGTCTGTTTTCAGCATCAGATTGCAAATTATTCCAGTAGCAAGTGAATCATAGACTAAGAAAAGTAACTGCTCTCGTGTGATGCCTGTCCTGTTATCTAATGAAGTGTGTGAACTGCCCTGACGGTCGGGCTCCACCCAGTGACGGTCGGGCTCCACCCAGTGACGGTCGGGCTCCACCCAGCACCACACAGAGCCAGGCAGGGTTTCTCACTCACAGGTACTTTTAAAGGAACATGGAACGGCCACAAACTGCCCTTTTCCTACTCATTTATCTTGTCAGCAGCTTCTTCCTGCTAAGTGGAGCTGGATTCTTATTCGGTATTTTCAGAGCACTGTTAGGGACAGCACCCACTCCTACTCAGTCCCATCTACACCTCTGCCTCACTCATGAGAAAGTGAAGGCTCGCAGAAGCACGGGCCTGGCAGGATCTTGCACCGAGAAGGAGGAACACCTGTAAAGACCCAGTGTACATGTTTGAAGCCATGGGTTTTGAGAACAGGCCCAGCATGTAAACACTTGTTTTGAAGAGCTGCTGCAAAGCTCGCTATTCTTCCTGAAACCCATGATCCAATACCAGACACCATAGGACAATAAGGGACCTGTCCACATCCTTCTCTAATCAGCACTGTTTCTCATCCTGAACGGCCTATGGATGAGCATATGGCAGCACTCACAAGGTGACTTTTAATGAACTGATGAGAGAATGTATGGAGGGCTGGAGTCTAGGGGATAACATAGAAAATGACGGACAGGGAAGCTGGGACAGCAATCTTATACTTTGATTCGGGACAGAGAAAAGGGAACGATAACTCCCCCTGCTGACTTAGAAGGTGGAACATGTTTGAGCAATGACTGGACTACACAGGACAATGGGAAGATGCGGTCCTCGGGGGCAGTTCCGCATACTCTACTCACGGACACAAACAGGGGTCTGCCCCGACCACTTGTGGTCCTGCAGGCAAATCCTCACAGAGGTGCCCACGAGCCGGAACCCGGGGTTGCACTGGTAGACCACTGTGTCCCTGTAGCTGAAGCCGTCGCCGCTGATGTGGCCATTCACAATGGGGTCTGGAGAGCCACAATGACCCGCTGAGGATGGACACAAAACAATGGGAAACTCATCAGAGAATGTGTCAGCATGAGCCCATGGTATTCCCAATCCACTTACCTTCACCGTCAAGTCAGTAACAGAGATGAGTGCACAGCTGAGAATTTCCCCACTGGCATATGTACTTTTAGCCTATTGCTCTTTTCTACTTGTTCATATTTTCTCAACAGTCGTGAGGAAGTCTTATTTCTTATATAAGATTATCTATAGCCATCACCCCAGTTACAGTTTCTCTGATTACTTATTCTATCACTTTCTTACTTCTATGACATGTGATCTATCTTCATGAGTCAGAAGATAGGAACAGGTTTTCTAACCCAGTGGGCGGCAGAGGAAAGAAGGAAGAGGAACACACCCAACCCCAGAAATGGGGTTTCATAATTGACACAGGGTGGCTGCAGTGTTGGAGATGATGGATATGGGACCGCGTTTCCAGATCCATGTACCAAAATTACAGCCAGATCCTCAGAGATTATTGATTCACTTGGATCCTGGCTAACACTCTAGATCAGCGGTTCTTAACCTGTGGGTGGTGAGCCCTCTGGGGTCGCATATCAGATATTTACATCACGATTCATAATTACAGCAAAATTACAGTTGTGAAGGAGCAACGAGATAATTGTATGGTTGGGGGTCACCACAAAATGAGGGACTCTATTAAAGGGCTACATCATTAGGAAGGTTGGGAACCACTGTTCTAGATAGCTCCAGATGCTTTGGGGGTCACTTAGGTCACTGAGAACCAGTCATGGCTTGCTGAAGAGGACCTATCTAACAAAGCCACACAGCTTCAAGTGGGCACTTCTCGTCCCTCTTAGTCAGACAAACTTGATTGTTGAAATAGGCGCGGCAGGGCTGTGTCCCCAGCACCCCAGCCTCCTGGCTAGCTCATGCCCGAAATAACAACACACAAACTGTATTCATTTAAAAACTGCTTGGCCTATGAACTCTAGCTCTTACAGGCTAATTCTCGCACCTGGACTAGCCCATACCAAATCGGAATAGATGCAATCCACAGGGTCTCATCTTCTGCAAAAACAAAAGAAGGACTTTTCCAAAGCATCATAACCTTAGATCCAAATTTTGACATCGTAATACCCTTATATCCATTTTGGTTTAGCTTGGCAGCCCATGTAATGAAATGTCTTTCTGTACTTAGCTCCGTCACAGTCAGAAATTTTAAAGAAAACACAATGTACATATTCCAGACTCTCTGTGAATTTTCCATTTTTACGTGGCTTATTTTTCTTTATTTCTCTTAATCTATAACTATCTGTACTCTGTCTCTTTAAAGACTTTACCCTTTTTCTTTTTAACATTAACTTTTTTATAATCTTTTTCTTCTTTCCCAAGCCTACGTACATTCATCCAACAATGTGATCCATAAAGGTCTTTTATGTCTGAATCTGTTTCACTGTGAATCTGTAATTTTTTCACTATCCAGGAGCATTTCTTAAAATGTTAAGCACTTCTTAAAAACTTAAGTTGCACCATGTACAGGTAATACGGTACTGCCTGTGTCCTGCCCAGTCTAAACCTTAACTGCGCTGTTATTGTGGCAATTACGGTAATTCCTGCCTGAGGTCAGCACAGTTCAGCGTAGCAGAGCTGAGCTGCTCCTGAGCTAAGCTGCTCCTGCCTCAGAGCCATTTGGTGCCCCTGAGCCACACAGTTCCAGGCACACAGCAGTCCACATTGCCATCAAGGAAGCCGTAGCACTTTATTCCAAATGCTCCATTCGAAAGCTCTGTCTCCCACAGGAGCCAGACAGAGATTGCAATGGCGGCACAGCCCAGAAAGCCGGCATTTTAAAACAGCCAGTTTTTTTCCTGCTGCTGAGTCAGGACAATTTCTTTGAGGCACGCAACCCACAAACAACAAAAAGCTGTCTTAAATTCTCTCTCTCTCCTTTTTAAGCCCTCTCAGGTTTTACGTGGAGTTCATTAGCACGTTGGGTGCCACTCTGTTGAAATAGGAGCGGCAGGGCTGCGTCCCCGGCACCCGGCCGCCCGCATGGCTAGCTTATGCCTGAAATAATTACACGGAAACTGTATTCTATTAAACACTGCCTGGCCCGGCTAGTTCCAGCTTCTTATTGGCTAGCTCTTACAGCCTAATTCTCGCACCTGGACTAGCCCATTTCTAATAATGCGTGTAAACACCCTAAGGTGCGCTTACCAGGAAGATTCTAGCCTATTGTCCATCTTGGATAGGAGCTTCATCGCGTGTGCCTCAGAGAGCAGAGCTGTCGGGTCTCTCCGGGAGCAGAGCAGAGTCTGACCTCACTTCCTCTTCCGCCCAGCATCCTATTCTGTTTACTCCTCCCACCTCTGTTTTAACCTATCAGGGCCAGCCAAGCAGTTTCTTTAATGCTTAACCAATGAAATCAACAGATTGATTTAACACTCCCACATCACTTGATTGGACATACTCGTGATTTAACACTCCCACATCACTTGATTGGACATACTCGTTTCCAAACTCTGCGTATCTCTACCCAGCTTTTGGTTCATGTGTAGATTGAAGTGGCGCATGCCTTTATGTCACATGGTCATGTACATATTCCTTAGTAGGCAGGGGCCAAGGTGTACTATATCTGCATGGGAAATTTTCCGGGGCGCTGCACTGCTAACTTGGCTACCCTACTTTCTGAGGAAGTGGCTTAAACACTTAAAGGAAATAGAGGATATACTTCAAAATCACTGCCCTTCAGCCCTGAGCCAAATGGAAGGAGAAAGCCACGGATGCTGCGGTACTTCACGTTCCCAATCTGAATCAATGTAGACCAGGTGTCCTGGTTTCATTTCTGTCACTGGGATAAAGGCACCAGACAGAAAGGAGCTTAGAGGAACAAAGACTTATTTTAGTTCACAGTTCCAGCTCACAGCCGCCACTGTAGGGCGTCTAAGTGGCCGGAACTGAAAACAGCTGGTCACATCATATTCCCAGTCTAGAGCCGAGAGGAGTGAGAGGTGCATGATTTCAGCATATTGTTCAATTTCTCTACTCTTGTGTAGTCCAAGACCTAAGTTCAGAGAACACTGCTGTCTACCTTGGACTAAATCTTTACATGTCATTTAACATAAGCAAGACTATCCTCAATAGGCATGCACACAGGCAAACCTGATCTAGGCACCAAAATCTTCTTCCCCCAGGTGACTGCAGTTTGTGTCCGGCCGACAATTAGTATCACACGAGCTGATCCCTGATTTGAAACAGTCACTCATTTCTCATTTCATTGTCTAGCTTCAGCAAGTTTGTCTCTTAAGTTAAATTTCACGTCATAAAAGTATAGGCTAGTTACATCTGCAGAATAGCCACAACAATTTCATTTATGGTTATTTAACCTAAATATCCATAATAATATGTCAAAATTGTGAAAAAGAAAAACTCCCTCAGGTGAAACTTGAATTAAACGCACTCTGAGGTTTGAATTTAGGATGTCATTATTTTGTGATGTTTTGCCTTTTTTTTTTTTTTTTGAAGTCTTGGATTTGAGTCATAGGGAAAGGCAGCTAGAAAGAGGTTCTCTGCCTTTTCTGATGTGAGACATTGCTTCTGAGGGTCCTCTCAAGCCCTATTCAGATTCGAGGCCACATGTGGAAATAGATGCTTCACTATTCTCCAGTAATGGCTGGCTGTTCCATCCCTTGAACCCCCCAGCTTGTTGTATTGTCTTCTGTGCTGCTTTTGACTGATCTAATGTCAACTGGTATAGTAGTTACTTTCCTACTGCTGTGCTGTATCATCATGACAAAAAGGCCACTTACAGAGGAGAGGGTTTATTTGGGCTTATGGTTTTGGAGTGAATACGAGTCTGGTATGTCATAAGATGTAGGCAGGCAAAATAGCCGAGAGCGTACATCTTGAACCAAAAGCAGGAAGCAGAAAGAGCTCATTGGGGATGCTGGGAGTTTCCAGACTCTCAAAGACTGCCTCCAGTCGTATGCTTCCTTCAATAAGGCCACACCTTCAAAGCCTCCCCAGACAGAGCCACCCACCAGGGACCAAGTCTTCAGATATCTGAATCTACGGTGGACATTCTCATTCAAGTCCTCACACCAGAGGGTGCCTTACCTCACACAGGTACGCTCTTGGGCTGGGAATTAAGTAAAGAGTCAGATATAGCCCCAGAGACTGGCCACAGACGGACAGACAGACATGCAGAGCTGCTCATTGGGTGTGGGACTTTGTGTGCTGGGACATCTTAGAAGGGTGGCTCTCCCATGTCACACAGAAAGGAACTATAGGACACAAGAGGTCATGTGCCCCATACAAACACTGCATACTTTACAAAAGTGACTTTATAGTTTGGAATTTCGATTTTGTTATCTTCAGAGATCCTGGAATCAAGTCCCCAGAGGGATAAGCAGGGGAAGGACAGGGGAACATAAACCTCTGGATTTGGAGTGTGATGATTTGGAAATTTAAATTAAACAACTAAATTGCTTGCTGATTCCAGGGAAACTCTGCCCTTGAGTGCACTGTAAAGAATCTCCTCTGTGTGAAAGGGTAGGGCTGGCAGCCTTGCTGGAGAGAGGAACACTGTGGAAGGAGGTGCAGAGGGGACCCCTCTGCTATGAGCCCTTTACTCACTTCCCAGAGTCCTACCTGCCTTAAGGTCATTGGCCACTCTGCCATTTCCCTTCACTGTGAACACTCAATATTCCTGTGAAGATTAGACTGTAACCCTTTTTAGAAAATCTACAAACCAAATGTCCAACCTTAGTATTTGCCTTGTGATTATCAGTATTTGGGGCTGACAATGATACTGAGTATCAAAAATATATCCTGCCTCTCCTGGGAGTCAGAAATGCAGGCTGCATGCCGTGATGTAATCTGTGTGGTGAGCGTCTTTGGGCTAAGCCAGGCTTATATGGACAGTGAACACTGGAGCCATGCCGCAGACCCTTCTTAAGTATTAACACGCAGTCATAAAATGTCAGGGGGATCAGATCTGTGAAAGGCATGAAAGCTGCTG